ATTCACAGATGACATGACCTTATAGATAGAAAATTCTAAAGAATCTATAAAAAATGATCAGAACTAATAAACGAATTCAGCAAAGCTGTATTCCTACACACTGGCAATGAACAATCTGAAAAAGAAATTTAGAAAAGCAATTTCATTTACAGTAGTACCAAAAAGAATAAAATACCCAGGAATAATTTAATAAGGAAGTTCAAGACTTAGACAGTGAAAACTAAAAAACTCTGAAAGAAATTAAAGAATATCTAAATAAATGGAAAGACATCCCATATTCATGAATAGGAAGACCTAATATTAATATGGAAATACCACCCAAGGCAATCTACAGATTCAGTACAATCCTTACCAAAATTTCAATGACTTTTTTCATAAATGGAAAAACCAATCCTCAAATTCATATGTGATTGCAAGAAACCCCAAATAGCCAAAAAAATACTGTAAAAGAAAAACAAAATTGTAAGACTCACACTTACCAATTTCAAAACTGACACAGCTATAGGAATTAAAACAGTGTGGTACTGGCACAAGGATAGACAGATGTCTATGTGGAATTGAATTGAGAGTCCAGAAAGAAACCCATACATTTATGGCCAAGTGATTTTTGACAAGTGTGCCACAATTATTCAACAGTGAAAGAATAGTCTCTTCAACAAATGGTGCTGAGACAACTGGATATCCACATACAAAAGAATGAAGTTGGACTCTACCTCTCACCATATGCAAAAATTAACTCAAAATGTATCAATCTCCTAAATAGATAAAACTATAAAATTCTTAGAAGAAAACATGAGTAAATATTCATGATATTGGTCTCCAACTCCTGACCTCAAGTGATCATCCCACCTCAGCCTCCCATAGTGCTAGGATTACAGGTGTGAGGCACCACACCCGGCCAATATTCATGATATTGGATTTGGCAATGGATTCTTAGATATGACACCAAAAGCATGAGCAGCAAAGAAATAGATAAATTATACTTCATCAAAATTAAAAAACTTTTGTGCATCAAAGAACATTAAGAAAGTGAAAAGACAACTTACAGAATGGGAGAAAATATTTGCAAATCATATATATGATAAGGATCTAGTATCAAGAATCTATAAAGAACTCTAACAACTCAACAACAAAAAGACCAATAATCCAATTAAAAATGGGCAAAGGACTTGAATAGACATTTCTACAAAGAAGATATACAAATGACCAATAAACACAAGAAAAGATGTGCAAGATCATTTGTCATTAGGAAGATGCAAATCAAAACCACAATGAGACACCACTTCACACCTACTAGGATAGAAATAATGATTTTTTTAAAAAAGATAAATAACCAGTGTTGATGAGGATGTGGAGAAATGATAACCCTTATACATTTCTAGCGGGAATGCAAAATGTTATAGTCACTATGGAAAACGGTTTTGCAATTCCCCAAAAAGTTAAGTATAAAATTATTATGTGATCCAGCAATTCCATTCCTAGGTATATACCTAGAAGAATTGAAAACAGGTACTCAAATACTTGTACAAAAATCTTCATAGCAGCACCTATTCACAAGAGCCAAAAGGCGAAAACAACCCAAATGTACATTGACAGATAAACGGATAAATAAAATGTATACAGAAATACAGAAAATGGATTATTATTCAGCCACACAAAGAATTCTTTTTTCATAAAAAAGAATGAAGTATTGATATATGATACAATGTGGGTGGCAACATTATGCTAAGTGAAAGCAGTCAGACCCAAAAGTTCATATATTATATGATTTCATTTATATGAAATATCCAGAATATGTAAACTCAGAGAGATAGAAAGCAGACTGGTGTTTGTCAGGGGCTGGAGGGAGGGGAGAATGGGAAGTGACTGCTTGGTGGGTGCAGGGTTTTGTTTTGGGGTGATGGAAATGTTTTAGAATAATAGAGGTGGTGGTTGCACAAAATTGTGAATATACTAAATGTAACTGAATTGTGCACTTTAAAATTATTATTTTATGTTACATGAATTTCACCTGCATGAAAAAAGTCTGAGCGTGGATAGAGAAACAACTGAAGCTGGATCTGGGGTGTGGGACCAAAAACTGAGAGGCATGGGTGGATAGAGATCACAATGGGGACAGACCACAGCTTCTGAGAGGTGGAAAGATACGAGTATCTTTGACAATGACAAAATGTAAAGAAGCTCTCTGCTTCAAATAAATATTTGAAGATGTGGATGGTTGGTAAAAAGCAGATAATGCTGTTCAGGGTGAGGGGATCCATTAGAGCACAATCTCATAGCAGAAAAACCTTGCATTTTTGACTCGAAACCTCAGAATCGGCCCACATATATTGGCTTTACCTATATTTCCAACTGCTGTTCTCTCCTGGACCTCAGAATTCTCATATCTGCTTCCTGCAAACACACTCAAGGAATTAGTTCCTATTTCTCCCTTCCTCTAATCCCAGTGTGATTGACGTCCCGTGGAATTTAGAACCATACTACTCAAAGTGTGGTCCATGGAGAGGCAGCATAGTTGTCACCTGGGAGCATGTTAGCAATGCAGAATCTTAGTCTGCATCCTAGAATCAGCATTTTAATAAGATCCCCAAGCAATTTATATGCACATTAAAGTTTGACAAGTTTCCATCTAGAAAGAATAAAATGAAGAAACAAATGAGATTCATTTTCTCCAGGACATCATGATGCTTGACTTCAGTTATAACTATTGTTTTGTTCTGTTGGTTTGCCACCCAATGCTTGAATTAGAGAAAATGGCATTTTTTTCCTCAACATTGTCTTTTCAGCTGAATTTTCAAAAAGGAATTGGGGTGGTATTCAACCCACTTGAAAGGATGTAGGCCGTTGGTGAGTCATTTTCCTTCATGGTTGTGTACAAGATTGATTTAATTTTCTCACACTTTTGCCAAAGTGGTCTTCTCTACCTTCGTAAATCCAAAGTCTTCCCCACATCAGGGCCTTTGCACATTGCCTCAAATCCTTCTTCATTTGACTCTTCCTGTTGAACTTTTCACACTCCTTTAATATCAGATGACATGCTACTTTTCCACAAAGTCCTTTCTTCCTCACTCAGTCCAAAGCAGGTCCCTTATTTTTCTTTACCATGCTTATTTTCTTCCTAGCCACGTATTTTGTAGTTACACGTGCATCTGTGTGAATATGTAACTGTGTGTAAGCGAAAGAGCATAGTGAAGTGGTTATGAGCTCGCACCCTGGGCCAGGCTCCCTGGTTTCCAATCCTAGCAGCCCCTGATCTCCTCCTGGGGCCCAGAACACCTGCATCTGCCACTCCAAACACATTCAAGTGTGTTTCTCTTTCTACACCGCTCTCCCCACAACTGTGGGATATTATTAAGCAAGTTACTTAAATGTTTTGTGCCTTCTTTCCTGTCCTGTGAAGTGGGGATTAGAACAGTGTATATTTCATAGGGTCATTCCAAGAAACATCCATGGAAATGGGGAGAAGGAGAGAAGTTTTAGCATGAGGACATTCAGAGTATTTCATTCTAGAGCCTAGTTTAATTTTGCAAGGAGGTAGAAATGAGGCAAAGGCTCGAGTTTCTGCTCCCAGGTCAGGAAGTGTCTCTAATAAATCAAAGAATGCTCCTTCTTTCTGCATCTTACATATATTTCCAAAGTTCAGTCCTCTTTCCACTTTTCTCCTTAGCTTCATTTGTTATCTCTGTGTTGTTGACTGTCAAGTCTCCAGTCTGAGCCCTTGTCTTAAATTTCCAGCTGCTTTCAGGAAATCTCTTGGATATCACCCTGCCATCTTAAAATCAGTAGAACCAAGATTGAACTCGTTTTCC